ACAGATACTCAGAGTTGGAATTGCATAGGGTTGGATTTTTGTTCTCAGGCTGCAGTGACTTTGGGATTGTGTCCTGATCCTCTAACATGTAGTTTATTAACAATGTCTTGATCAAGTCGAAGCTCTGATGTTTATGACTGATGGCATGTTGTTGCCCCCGCTGCAGGTTTCCCAAGTTTTTTGCTACCTGTGTGTAGTCACTGTACAGTACCTTGGCCCTGTAATCCTGCTTCTGCACTCCACCCTGCTGCTGAAAGTGCTGGGTATGTAGCCGACTTAACAGCAAACAACTAATTCTATGGTCTGAATCAAAAACACAAGTTGCTGGAAAAGCTCATCAGGTCTGGCAGCATCTGTGAAGAAAAATCAGAATTAACGTTAACTGATTTCTGTTCACACATGCTGCCAGATCTGCTGAGCTTTTTCAGCAATTTCTGTTTTTGTTTCTGATTTCCAGCATCCGCAGTTTTTAATTCTGTGGTCTCTTATTTTATATTCAGCAAAGAAGTTCAGTCCCTCAAATTGATCCACCGCTTGCGGAAATGTGAACCAGGAGTAAGCCATTCAGCCCCTCGAGCTTGCTCTGCCATTTAATAATATGATGACTGATCTGATTATATTCTGAAATCCACATTCCTGCCTGCCCCCGATAATCTTTCGTTCTTTGCTGAACAAGAATCTATTCATCGCTGCCTTGAAAATATTCAAGAACTCTATTTTCCCCCCTTTTCAGGAAGTGAGTTCCAAAGACTCATGACCCTCTGAGAGAAAACAAGTTATGCCTCATCTCTGTTTTAAATGGGCGACCTCTGAGAGATTTGTAAACAGTGACCTGCCCTTAATTAGATCATTACTGATGTCTAACTTCAATTCCAATTAAACCCCCTCCCACTTCTGCTCCATTTCTTCGATACACAACAAAAATTAATCAGTCTCTGTCTTGAACACTTTTATTTGACCACACCCTCAACAGCAGTTTTGTTGACAGATGAATTCCAGATTCTCACTGCCCTTTGCAGCTTTGCTGCAATTTTGTCCCTGGACCACCACCATTTTGCTCAGTTTTACTGTTCTCTGAAGGTGCGTTCATTCGGGAGGACATTTGGCTCTGTGAATATGGCCTATATGGATTGGAGAGACCCATCTTAGATCTGCCTGTGCTGGAGGGAACCACTGGTAATGTCACTGGATTAATAATCCAGAGGACCAGGCTACTGCATGGTGGGCCCATAGATTCAAACCCCACCACAGCAGACAGTGAAATTTGAGTTCAGTTACATAAAACTGGAATAGAGGGCTAGCCTAATGTGACCATGTAACCACTATCGATTGTTGTAAAAACCTGCCTGTTTCACTAATGCCTTTTAGGAATGAAATCTGTCATCTTTACCTAGTCTGTGACTCCAGACCCACAGCAATGTGGTTTACTCTTAGCTGGCCTCTGGGCAACTGGGGATGGCCAGCAACAAATGAATGAATAATAAAAAATGATAACACACTAAGTGCATTGCATTCAGTCAGACTTATTGTGTAGGTGCCTGAAGTGAATGCAGCACAGCACAGGAAACAGGCATCAGCCCAAACAGTCTAATGCTGACACAAATTTCCTCCCATCCTACTCACTCCATCAGCGTGTTCCTTACTCGCTCAAATGAAAGCGAAATATTGAGGAATTAGAAATCTGTAATAAATACAGAGAATGCTAGAGCAATTCTAGGTCTGTGGAGAGAGAAACAGAGTTAACATTTTGAGTCCAATGTGATTTGAAGATCTGAAGAAGAGCCAAAGTGGACTCAGAATGTTAACTGTCTCTCTCTCTCTTTGCCCCCCACCTCACAGATGATAACAGACCTATTGAGTTGCTCCAGCAGTTCTTGTGTTTCTGCCTTTCTCCCTCATCTAGCTTTTCTTTAAATGCACAACACCAGCATGGATCACGTGGGCTGAATGGCCTGCTTCAGTTCTGTTGAGTCAGTGCAGCTCATTATGTGTTTGTTGTTTTCAGGTGATTACTCTTGGGGCTTTTACCCAGAAGCCCCTCAAGTGTCTCCGGCTCTGGATGTTGGCTCGGAATTCTCCGGAACAGCCCCCAATGAGGAGGAGAGATATGAAGTGGCTGTCTCTCAGATCAAAGCATTCCTGAGCACAATCTGTCGCGTTTTCACACCCATGTTTTACCGGGGCATCTTCTCCTTCGTCACCTGGTGGTTAGCAACGTGTCAAGTGGTGACGAACCTGTTTGGCCTTTACTTCCATCAGTACATGATGACCTCGTAGGGAAACGGGCACTGGGATACGAGAGTGAAGCACACCGAAAAGTATTGAATCTCCTACCATGTTGGACAACAAGTGAATAATGATGAGTCCACAAAGATTTCCTTTAATATATTCACTTTTCTTTATCCACTCCAGTTCCACACGTCTAAATCTTTTCCAACTTTTTTTGGCCAAATGTGCTGACTTCCACAGAGGACTAGCTGTTTGCAGGCTTGCTGCTGCTCATCTGTGAAGCTGCACAAGGTGCAGGGGAGAGTAGAAGAAGCTAGCAGGAGGTAGATTGTTGGTATCCTTTGTCACAAACATTACGGTCCCGTATCTGAAGGGCAGGGATCAGTTAGCTGGACAGCTATTTTGCAATGCAGAGCGATGTCAGTGGGTTCAATTCCTGCACCAGCTGCGGTTACCATGAAGGACTCTCCTTCTCAACCTCTCCCCTCACCTGAGGTGGTTCTTCTCAGGTTAAACGGCCACCAGTCATTCTCTGTCTAATGTGAGAGGCACCATATGGTCCTCTGGGACACTGGTAACTATCTTTTAATTTTTCATCAATTATTTGCAGTCTACAAATTTGGAAACCTTTCCCAGTGCCCCTTTCCATTCTCCCTGTGCCTTCACTCCCAGAGGGGGAATGCCCAAATTACTCACAAGCAGAGTTATCTTAGAGTGGAAGGTTGAAAGATGATGTTTAGAAGATCATAGAATCCCCACACTGTGGAAACAGGCCCTTCAGCCCAAGTCCACACCGACTATCAGAACATCCCACCCAGACCCATCCTCCGATAACCCACCTAATCTACACATCTCTCAACACTGTGGGAAATTTTCCATGGCCAATCCACATGGCCTGCACATCTTTGGACTGTGGGAGGAAACCCATGCAAACATGGGGAGAATGTGCAAACTCCACACAGACAGTCACCTGAGGCTGGAATCAAACCCTGGTCCCTGTCACTGTGAGGCAGCAGTGCTAACCACTGAGCCACCGTGCCGCCCTGTACTTAACAATACGTCTCCGTGAAGAAATAGAAATGAACGTAGGAATGGAAATCCCTGCTGTGGGATGGGGTGCAGCTCAAACTGGAGTTTGAAAAAAGGGATCACAATTTTTCACATTACCAAAATAATTAAGCAAATTGAGAGAGATCTGTTTGTGTTTAAAACCTTTCCAACACTCCTCTCCCTATCAGGTGAGATGGTCACTCTTACCAATACTGTCATGGACAGATGTAACTATAGGTGGCAGATTGGTAAGGGTGAGGTCAAGTATGATTTTCCCTCGTGCTGGTTCCCTCACCACCTGCCACAGACCCAGTCTAGCAGCTATGTCCTTTAGGACCCAACCAGTTTGATCAGGAGTATTGCTGCTGAGCCACTCTTGGTGGTGGACATTGAAAACCGCCACCCACAGTATATTTTGTGCCCTTGACACCTTCAGCACTTCCTCCAAGTGTTGTTCAACATGGAGGAGTACTGATTCATCAGCTGAGGGAGGACGGTATGTGGTAATCAGCAGGAGGTTTCCTTGCCCATGTTTAACCTGAAGCCATGAGATTTCATGGGGTCCAGAGTCAATGTTGAGGATTCCTAGAGCAACACCCTCCCGACTGTATACCACTGTGTCGCCCCCTTTGCTGGGTGTGTCCTGCCGGTGGGACAGGACATATTTAGCGATGGTGATGGTGGTGTCTGGGGCATTGTCTGTAAGGTATGATTCTGTGAGTATGACTATGTCAGGCTGTTTCTCTCCTAGTTTTGGCACTAGCCCCCAGATGTTAGTGAGGAGGACTTTGCAGGGTCAACAGGGCTGTTTCTGCCGTTGTCTTTTCCAGTGCCTAGGTCAATGCCAGGTGATCTGTCAGGTTTCATTTCTTTGAGAATTTGTAGCAACTGCTAAAACTGAGTGGCTTGCTGGGCCTTTTCAGAGGCCAATTGAGAGTCAACCACATTGCTGTGGGTCTGGAGTCACATGTAGGCCAGACCAGGTGAGGATGGCAGATTTCCTTTCCTGAAGGGCATTTGTGAACCAGATGGGTTTTTCCCGACAATTGACAATGATTTCATGGTGATTAGTAGGTTCTTAATTCCAGTTTTTTTTTTAATGAATTCAAATTCCACCACCTGCCATGGTGGGATTCGAACCCGGGTCCTCAGAACATTAGTTGATTTTCTGGATTAATAGTCTGCTGATAATACCACTGGGCCATCGCCTACCCTTTATGGAATTTCTACAGTGCAGAAGCAGGCCATTCAGCCCATTGAGTCCATACCAACCCACTGAAGATCATCCCACCCAGACCCATATTTCCCATGGCAAATTCACATAGCCTACACATCCCTGCACACTATGAAGCAATTTAGCATGGTCAGTCTACCTAGCCTGCACATCTTTGGACTGTGGGAGGAAACTGGAGGAAATCCACGCAGACATGAGGAGAATGTGCAAACTCCACCCAGGTAGTTGCCCGAAGGTGGAATTGAACTGGGTCCCTGGCGCTGTCAGGCAGCAATGCTAACCACTGAGCCTCCGTGCTGCCATGATTAGAACGCCATTGTGAGGTGCTGGCTATTCAAAATGACCGAAGGCATTATGAGGAAGTTATTTTGCTGATGAGGAAGTGTTGAAGTCACCAGTAAGTCTCTGAATGGGGAAATGGCAGAGCAGGGAGATTGCAGCTCATTTTGATCAATTGACAGCAAGCCAGCGCAAGCTGCCTGTCTTCCGAATGGGTGGAAATGGAAGTGAAGTCTGAGCAGAAGGTTGGGGTAGCTATTTAAACATCTTCTGTAGCACCATTCACAATTCTGGGGCATCCAACAGGGCTTTACAATCTACTAAGAACTTCTGAATTGTGGACAAAGTAAGAAATGCTGCTGCCAATTTGCACACAGGATATTCCCAAAAACAATGACGTGATGACTATCAAATAATTTGTTCATTGGTGTCAGGTGAGGGATAGGTATTGTCTGAGGAGAACTCTCCTGCTCCTTGCCATGGGATCTTTTACATCCCCTCTTCTGAATATTGGCACCTCCAACAGTGCAACGCTCCCTCAGTAATACAGCAGGAGGGTCAACTGAGATCTTGTGCTCAGGTTTCTGCAGTTGGACTTGAACCCACAATATTTGGCCTGAAAGGATCCCCAACACAGAGTTACAAAGGCTGATGGTGGAGATGGAGAGCAGCCCTCATGGTGTTTGGCGCGTGAGCAGATGAGTCATTAACAAACTCCTCACGTTGCTACCTTTCTTTTGTCATCAACAGATGTAGATATCAGCCATTGCAAAACCAACACAACATAGTAATCAAAGCAAAATACTGTGGACACTGGAAATCTGAAATAGAAAGTGCTGGAGAAACGCAGCAGGTCTTGCAGCATCTGTGGAGAGTAAAATAGAGTTAATGTTCCAAGTCGTACTGAATTGAGTTTCTCTCTCCAGGTGCTGTCAGACCTGCTGAGTTTCTCCAATAGTTTCTGTTTAAGTTTTCAGATATTAATTATGTGACTGATTTTTAAAAGGTGCTTTAAAAACTGAGTTAAAAATGGTGTTTTTGAACCTGTATATATAGTTAGTCTAAAACAAAGAAATGAATTATCTGTCTTACAGCATGAGATGAAATCACTTTATGAATGTGTTTAATTAGCTGTTACAAAACAATGGCCTCTGCTGAAAAAATAACTTGTAGGCACCTGCACTAAACATCACTTTCCATACACTTCATAGCAAAGGGACCTGGTGTCCCCATCAAACACTCCCAGGACAGGTACAGTACAGGGTTAAATACAGAGTGAAGCTCTCTCTACATTGTCACCATCAAACACTTCCAGGACAGGGCCAGCACAAAGTTAGATACAGAGTAAAGCTCCATTGACACTGCCCCCCATCAAACTGTCCCAGGGCAGGTTCATCACACGATTGGATTCTAAGTAAAGCTGTCTCTATGCTGTCTTAACGATGTACCTGAACCAGAATTCTGTATTGAGGCAACCCAAACTCGTTTTGTGTTGGACTTTTCCTGACGAGAGCTCTATCATATCAGCATCATAAGGTTTTTTATTGTTGAAAAAGTAACTGAAATTGTGACCATTAAATAAGGCATCCTCTCCCTGTTTTGTATCTGCCTCCTGCATCTCTCCCTCACGCTTTTCTCATACCATTTACTCCTGCAACCTTTTCTCTTCTCAGCCCTTTTCTACTATCATCCCCACTCTCTTTCACAACTCCATTTCCCTAATTAAAAGACATGGTCGAGGCAATTGCCATAATTGTAAATCCACACACCTCTCACACCCCCTTTTATTGCGGCTAACTGTAAATTGCTTTCAGTTAGGACCCAGAAAACCATCTGATCTAGGTCCCTTGGCGACATTTTTTTTTGTTTCTCCCAGCCTGTGTGCAAAAGACTCTGACTCCAGCCTTTAATTTGTGTCTGGGGCACATGCTGCTTTAGGGATACAGGCCCCTGCAGACTCCCAGGAGACTCCTAATTCACTGATCTGTCTGATTCCACTCAAATGACTTAATTATAAAGCTGTATGCGTTAAAGGGCCAGTCCATCTGAACCAGATATGAATTAAACACATGAAGCTGGCTTGCTATCCATTTCCTGAAGCCAAATTTCTTAAAACTTAAATATCATTAGCATAGTACTGCTGTGCACTGATATGGTCAGTGAGAATGTTGTATTTAGATATTTTTAATCTACGTGTTAAAATGTATTATGATACATGCCTGGGGTTAGGTGGGACTTGAACCCAGACCTTCTGTCCCAGATGTAGGAACACTATGACAGAGCCACAAAAGTATTTGCTGGTGTTGTATTTAATACTCTGGTTGAGAGCATGAAGAGAGAGGAGTGGGGCCCAAACAGAATTCCTGCTTCTGATCGCCATCTGGTGTTAGAAAAGATTGTGCACACATCAGGTCAAGATTGGATTGTGTTTGTGCTGTGATGCCTTTACTGTCAAATAGCCTGCTGAAACTCTGACTGCAGAATAGCAACATGCTGAAGGCCTTACCAGAGACCAAAAATGGTGCCTGTGGAAAATAAGCCAGTGCCTTTAAGTGATCTGGGTGACCCTGGAAAGACATAATTGTTCAAAAAGTTATGTAGAACAGAGTTGTTATTTTTGTCTGTGCTAAAGTGAAATTTTGTGGCTTGTGTGACTTTACTGAGACAAATTTTTTAAAAATTGTAAAGTTAATCATGGGTTTGTATTTTTGCGTGAAAAAAATGTAACAGATAACAAAAGACCTTGAAATTTTATAGCGCCTTCACAGCATCAGAACAGCCGAATGTGTACTAACTGTTGTAGGAAAATGTGGCAGCTAATTGTGCACAGCAACCTCTCAAGCTGCAAGGTAATAACGACCAGGTATTCTGAATTTAGTGATCTCAGTTGAGGGGAGAAGGACACTAGGAATAAACTTGCCTTTATTCTTCGAGCAGTAGCTGTGGAATCTCTTACATCTACCCGAGAGATACTTCCTTTAAGGTCTGGATGAAAAGGTGACACCTTTAACAGTGCAGCAGTCCTTCAGCACTGGCTTTGTGGTTGTCTCTAACATTTGTCCAAGAGGGACTGAGACAACTCCACACAGAATAAATACACGATCTAGCAACAGTGGTGTTGTGATCTCACCTAAAGAATGAAAGTGTGTGGGAGAACAGACTGGGAACATTATTTGTCTCCTGATTTTTAATCTAACAGCTTTTCTTCAATTTATTTTAGGCATTACTATAAATATTTAATCAACTAAGTTGCGCTGACTCTTAGCCTTGGAATACTTTCATTATTACTTGTGTGTGATCATGTTACTAACTTACATCCTTGGCCACTCGCTATCTCCCAATCCTCTCAGGTCTCTGTGCTCCTTCAGTTCTGATCTCTTGTGCATTTCGGAATTTAATCAACCCCTGTACTTTCATCTGTCTGGGCACTAAAACCCTGGAGTACCTACCAAATTTTCCCTAGGGCCCTCTCTCTCATTTCTTCTTTAGGATCCTCCTACTTTGACCAGGCGTTTGTTCACATGATTCAAAGGCAGGTCACTTTGTGTGGTTTGGTTTCCAATTCAATTTGGTAACACTCCAAAGGTTTTACAATGTTAAAGATGCTCCATGCTTTGTAGCAGTGTGGTAGGCCACTGAGCTACAATAAAATCAAGGCCAGTTACAAAACTAAGTACCTAAGACAGTTAAACCCCTCAATATGCCGCCTGACCATTGTTGAACCATAAAAGTACCTGTTCAGGGGCAGGAATACGAATGCATTTTTTAAATGATGTTTCTACATCTATCTAAGACGTATATCCGACCAAATAGGAACAGATGTAGGCCATTCAGCCCCTCGAGCATGTTGCACCATTGAATGAGACTATGGCTGATCTGTGGCCTAACTCTGTATACCTGCCTTTGACCCATATCCCTTGATACCTTTGCTAAACAAAAAAAATTCATTTCAGATTTAAAATTAACAACTGATCCAGCATCAACTGCCATTTGTGGAAGAGAGTTCCAAACCTCTACCAACCTTCGTGTGTAGAAGCACTTCCTAACCTCTCTGCTGAACGGTCTGGCCCTAATTCGCAGACTATGCCCCCATCATGGTATCTAGTGATCTCTTCCAATTTTTTGGTTTGTAAGAACAAAGCATTCTGTGGGACCGAATGAAAATAGGCAAAGAGATCCGGGTTTGGGGTCTTTATCTTGCTTCATTTTTGATAAACTGAATTTGCGCAAAGAAGCAATCAAAGGGGTACAATATGAAATCTGTCTCTTTAACTCCAGTTCCCCACCCTCAGATGGCAGTGTAATACTGTGATGGCATAGATCCCGAATTCATATCCAATCACAGCAAGCTTCTGAACTGACCACAAGAATTATTCTCAAAATCCCAGCAGTGTGCTCTAGAGGAGGAAATCTGCCTCCTCTCCTTTGTCTGTATCTGACTCTAGTCCCAACACTTGCCCTTAGACAAACAAGGGATGGTCAACAAACACAACTGTACCACTACTCAAACGAAAGAAAGAAAACTGAATCTGCATCACTGGGCTTTCGATAAAATTTGTTTCAAGTTTTTATAATTTGTCTTCAGCTGAGCTCCCTGAATGAAGGTGTAAACTGTTAGTGGGGGCTCCTTGTGTTACAGTGGTAGTGTCCCTACCTGTCAGCCAGAAGGCCTGAGGTCAAGCCCCACCTGCTCCAGAGGTGTGTCATGACACGCCTGAACAATTTGATTAAATAATAAGCAGGTATCTATGCCTGATCACCGCACAGTGACCCCACACTCCATCCCCACACAATTGCATAAAGCTTGGTTTGAGGTTTAGAGGGTAATGAACTGACTATGGTGCCAACTGAATTGAAACAGAGGAGATCCTGAAGGGAGATAGTAGGAACTGCAGATGCTGGGGAATCTGAGATAACAAGGTGTAGAAAAAAAAAAAAAAAAAAAAAAAAAAAAAAACAGAGGAGCAGGAAAGCTGATGTTTCGGGCCTAGATCCTTGGTCCAGGCCCAAAACATCAGCTTTCCTGCTCCTCTGATGCTGCTTGGCCTGCTGTGTTCATCCAGCTCTACACCTTGTTATCAGAAATAGAACATGCTTGAGTTACATGAGAAAAATGGCCAGTTGGTTAAAGGACAGGATTCTCAGTGCCTCTTTTGCACCTGGTTCTTCAGGGGATAAAGCTAGAAGATGAGTGAGGTGGTGGGTCAGCGGTAACACTGAAGAAGTGTTTACTGACATTACTTACAGCAGTAAAATAATTTTTGGGTGAGTTGGCAGCGTGTGGGAGTAGGGGAGGGAATCACAGCCATGAGGTGGTTAAGTTCTTACACATTGGAGAATAAAAAGCAACAAGTAAAAAATCTCCCTCATTATAATTTGATTGCTAACTCACCCAGTGCCTTTTGTGAGCAGCTGGGTGCTGTACTGACAGGATGATGAACAGGTTATGACGTAAGGAAGTCGTGTGGAATATTGAGCAGTGATGGGCAGTCTAGAAACTCTAAGACCGTGAGAGTGTCTGGGGTGTTCTGATGATTTATAAAGGGGTGTTGTTCAACACAAGATGTTGATTTAGAGCAACACAATAGTCTAGCCGCGTGCACGCACACACACTCACAGAAGGACGACTGTTCTTGCAAATTAATTAGATTACTGGCACCATTTTCAGGCACTTTTAACTCTTTCACTAAAGAGCAAACTCGCCTGAGGCACAAATTAATGGTTGTCGACATGGTTTTAATATCTTTTTCTTATTTTTGAACTAAAACATTGAGAAACTAAAAATTTTCAGGCAGTAGGAAGGATGAAAATGAAAGGTGGATAGTAAGGTAAATCCAATGACAGGTCTGTGAAAACACACATTGCTTTAACTATGCCACGTTTTCAGATTGTGGGAACGGATCTTGTTTCCCTTAACTCCCACATTTTACACCTTCATTGATTCATAGAGCGCAGAAAAGGCCCTTTGGCCCATCGAGTCTGCACCAACAATAACACCACTAAAAGTGCACTAATCCCAATTTCCTGCATTTATTCCATATCCCTGAATGTAAATCATCCAAATATTTTTTGAAGGTTGTAAGGTTTCCAGCCTTCACTACCTTCCCAGGCAGTACATTCCAGATTCTCACTACCCATTTAGCTGAAAAAGTTTTTTCCCTAAATCCCCTCTGAATCTCCTGCCCTTACCCAAAAACTATGCCCCCTCATGACTGACTCCTCAACCAAGGGGAACAGCTGCTCTTTATTCACTCTGTCCATACCCCTCATAATCCTATACACCTCAGTCGTTACCCCTCAGTTTTCTCTCCTCTAAAGAAAACAGTCTAAGCCTATCTAGTCTCTCCTTACAGCTCAATTTCTCCAATGCAGGCAACATCCTGGTGAACCTCCTCTGTAGCCCCTCCAGTGCTATCACATCCTTCCTGTAGTGAGGTGACCAGAACTGCACACAGTACTCCAGCTGTGGACTGACCAACACTCTGTACAACTCCAGCATTACCTCCTTGCTCTTAAAGTCTATGCCACCACTGATGAAAGCAAGTGACCCATGTCACTTCTTAACTATCCTAAACATGGGCTCTGCCGACTTCAGGGATCTGTGAATAGTTACCCCAAGATCCCTCTGTTCCTCTAAGCTACCCAGTGTCCTGCCATTCATTAAATACTCCATCATCTTGTTTCTTCTTCCAAAGTGCATCATCTCGTGCTTATCAGGGTTAAATGCCATCTGCCACTGGTCTGCCCAACCCATCTATATCTTCCTGGATCCTACAATCATCTTCTTAAAACTATTAACCACTCTACTAATCGTGGTGTTATCTGCAAATCTGTCTAACATTCCTCCCCCCACCCCCAATTTTCATCTATATCATTTATGTGTATAACAAACAATAAGAGTCACAGTACTGATCCTTGTGGCACACCGCAGGACACCGGCCTCCAGTCACTCAAACAGCCTTCTACCACTACCCTGTGTGTCCTATCACTAAGCCAGTTTCTGATCTATCTCACCAAGTTTCCCTGAATTCCATGTGCACTGACCTTCTCAATCAGTCTGCCATGTGGGACCTTGTCAAAATCATATCATAGAATCCCTACAGTATGGAAACAGGCCATTTGGCCTTAAAAGTCCACACTGCCCCTTCGAGGAGCATGCCACCCAAACCCATCCCCCTCTCCTTTCCCTGTAACTCTGCATTTCCCATGTCTAATCCACCTAACTTGCACAACCCTGGGCACTATGAGCAATTTAGCATGGCCAATCCACCTAACCTGCACATCTTTGGACTGTGGGAGGAAACCGAAGCACCTGGAGGAAACCCACACAGACACAGGGAGAATGTGCAAACTCCACACAGACAGTCGCCCGAGGGTTGCTAAAATCCATATAAATGACACCAACTGAACTTCCCTCATCCACACACTTGATCACATTTTCAAAAATTCTAACAAATTTGTTAAACATGACCTCCCTCTGACAAACATGCTGACTATCCCTAACTAACAATGCCTTTCCACTAAGTATTAATTTGCTCCTTTAGAAGCTTCTCCAACAGGTTCCTTACCATTGATGGGAGACTCACCGGTCTATAATTTCATAAGTTCATCTCTACCATCTTCTTAACAAGTGGAACTACATTAGCCATCCTCCAGTCCTTTGGCACTTCCCCTGTGGCCAGAGAGAAATTAAAAATTTGTGTCAGAGCCCCCGCAATTTCCTGCCTCGTCTCCCTCAGCAGCCTGGGATGTAGTTGATCCAGGCCAGGGGCTTTGTTTTTAAGCCTGATAGAGCCTCCAAAACCGTGCCATTTCCTATGTCAAACTGTGCAAGTTCCTCAAAGTTTCTTTTCCTGAATTCCATACCTAAATTTTCCTTTTCCAGAGTGAAGACCGAAGAGAAGTATTCATTCAACACTTTTCCAATATCCTG